AGACAAGTGTTTCCTGACGCTGGTCTTTGTCATATGATGACCCGCCACTGGAGCTTTTGGGCATCTGACCGAGGTCTTCCGATCCAACCCTTTAAAATTTATGATTATAATTACATTATTAGGAATATCGTCATCCTCAGCATAATTATCATTGGATACGGATTATTTATGTCACCTTGTTTATTTATTATAATAGTTGTATAAACATTTAATAACGGTGTATCAACTTATAAAATATAAATACTTGTTTAAAGGAAAATTTAGCTCCAGGCTATCAAATTCTAATGACAGATTAAAATAAAATTGCATTTTAACCTATTTTCTGCCTGATTATTACTGGTTCAGTGAATTTCTGTGCACTTTCATGAAGACAATATTGCTCTCCACTTACAAATTCAAACTCGGTAAACATTTTCCACACTATTAATGAACTTTACTGTGTCTGTAGAGGCTACTGCCACCAGACAATATAACTGATATTTGACCCATGTTAAGTGTCGTAACAATAGAGCGTCATTGTTATGACACTTGTCAGACACAACAATACCATTGAATCTTGGTACTGACGAAATATTCACCGTGTTTGTTAACCTCTGGCACAGTAATATTTCCACTAGTGGGTCCACTTACTGTGACGATGTCTTCAGCTGCTGCACCTTCTCTGACGCTTAAGTAGGTGTCCATCTTTCAGATTCATTAAGACTACTGCGAAAACATCATCCTAGATGATGTTTTCGCAGTAGTCTTAATGAATCAGTCAGTTACCTCGTCTTCTACTGTCTCCAGTTTAAACAAACAACTCTGTACTAAAGTGATAAAGCCATTGGTTGGATAGAAGTCTCCAGAATGAAGATTACCAGGTGTTGCACATGTGTCTTGCTCATCGCCTTGTTAAGTGGTCTTTATATACAGTGATGCAGAAGTATAAAGTACCATGCATGCATGATCACTGTGTTTTTCAGTCTCTTTAAGACTGGCGGTTTTATTATTTAGGCTTGGTAGTGCTAGATGGTCAAAATGTGCTCAGTCCCTTGTCAATACTTTCTGAAAGGGACAAGCTCTTACACTGATGAATCCAACAAATGCTTTATTCGTGGCCAGTCTACGATACTCCACCAGTACCTGCTGTCTCTGAGTTGTACCGTACGTATTCCTCACCTGAACAATTTTATCGAAAATCACTTAAGTGTGTAAATATTATCTAAGTCTTTCCCAACTAACAAAATCACAGGACATCCAGTTTAAATTTATAATTGTAAATTTTTAATACCAGGTTGACGGAATATCAGTATCTTAGAAAAAAGGACTGTCAGAGGCGCCTTATTGAGGTGACTGTCGTCAAGTGCAGCTGCATGATACATAAAAGTGTTAGTGACAATTTTTGATTATGGAAGTTTTGACTTGACCATCTTTCACCTAGAGGAACTCCGTTAATTGTTGTGGAAAATGTTCCCAGCACCATCAGAACATCTCCTGGGGTGGGAGAAGATATATATATATATATATATATATATATATATATATATATATATATATATATATATTTATATATATATATATATATATATATATTTTAGTTAACGAGTATTAATACCTGGAAACTAGTCTATGGAAAGATCAGCACTGATAAGAAAAAAATGCGACATTATATATATAAAAATACTTGTAGAAAAATATATTTTTTTACAAGGATTACACAGAAAACCACCAGCTTATTCCAGACTAAATAAACAAAAAGAAATAAGACTGACAGTAATCAGGATCCTTCCAGGCTATGTTAACCTTCCCAGAGTAAGACATGTTGATGGCTCACCCACCCACCTTCCCAGAGTAAGACATGTTAATGGCTCACCCACCCACCTTCCCAGAGTAAGACATGTTGATGGCTCACCCACCCACCTTCCCAGAGTAAGACATGTTGATGGCTCACCCACCCACCTTCCCAGAGTAAGACATGTTGATGGCTCACCCACCCACCTTCCTAGAGTAAGACATGTTGATGGCTCACCCACCCACCTTCCCAGAGTAAGACATGTTGATGGCTCACCCACCCACCTTCCCAGAGTAAGACATGTTGATGGCTCACCCACCCACCTTCCCAGAGTAAGACATGTTGATGGCTCACCCACCCACCTTCCCAGAGTAAGACATGTTGATGGCTCACCCACCCACCTTCCCAGAGTAAGACATGTTGATGGCTCACCCACCCACCTTCCCAGAGTAAGACATATTGATGGCTCACCCACCCACCTTCCCAGAGTAAGACATGTTGATGGCTCACCCACCCACCTTCCCAGAGTAAGACATGTTGATGGCTCACCCACCCACTTCCAGAGTAAGACATGTTAATGGCTCACCACCCACCTTCCCAGAGTAAGACATGTTAATGGCTCACCCACCCACCTTCCCAGAGTAAGACATGTTAATGGCTCACCCACCCACCTTCCCAGAGTAAGACATGTTAATGGCTCACCCACCCATCCACTTACTCTCGTAAAAAAAAAAATAATGCCACACTGGTTTCTGGTGGAATTGTAAAACGTGAATACACTCTAGGTAGAGCTAATAAATAAAACATTTATAATTATCATCAGCTAAATATGAAAATAATTTACTCGTCAGTTTTATGAAACTATAATCACTCGAAAAAAACGTAGTGAGGAGCAGCCTTACAGTGGTGCATGTCTAGTAACGTTCTTGAGGGAGATTGTAGCGTGTTGTTTTGAAAACAGTAGAAGCTGAGTTCATATGGCAGAGTGAGAATCACAGCGTCCTGACGAACAATATCTCCCTAACCTTAAAAGATTACTAAATACGTAGAGGACTTGATAAGGTGGACAACGGAAGACTCTTGGATACATAAAAACAGGAACTAGGGAAGCGCAGCTGAAAGACACATTTGCCACAAATATAGATGAAAATACTTCATTTCAGCCTCAGTGTTCAGGACGTAGAATGATTTCGACGACGAGGGGATATAAACAAATTCCACACAAAGCTTTAAGAATAGGTTTAATATGGCCGAGGCTATGACTGGGTTAATTGTGTACCTGCAAGTTAAAAATGAAGGTCAGGAGCCGAGTCTCGGTCCAACTACGGAGATCGAGGCTCAGCTGTCAGTACAACTTTGTGAACCATACCCCCGGCCGGGATTGAACCCGCGGTCATAGAGTCTCAAAACTCCAGCCCGTCGCGTTAGCCACTAGACCAGCTAGCCACAATAAGATTCATCCAACTAGGTATATTTCTACACCATTGCATTTGTGGTCACAGAGGTGCCTGTGCTAACTTTCCTATGGTGTAGAAATATACCTAGTTGGATGAATCTTATTGTGGCTAGCTGGTCTAGTGGCTAACGCGAGGGGCTGGAGTTTTGAGACTATGACCGCGGGTTCAATCCCGGCCGGGGGTATGGTTTATTTGCAATCGTGTCATTACGATTTCTTGAGTCAACTTTGTGAGTACACATGTTACAGCAACTTCCGGTTCAGGGGTCAGAGTGATATGTGCACAATCGAAAAGTCGCAGATCGAATCCCCGGGCTGAGCGAAACGTAGATGCAAATCTTATTTATAACACCTACTGCCCCAGCAACTAACAGGTACCTGAGGAATTTGTCGGCTGTTGTGGGTCGCATCCTTTGGAATGCAACTATGTGGGGATCCCACAAGTGTCATGCTAGGAGAAATCAAATCTTATATCTCGTGGTTTGCACACGATGTAAAACGAAAGAAAATACAAACTACAGAAGACATGGAAAAACTACAAGATGACTTTAATAAACTACAGAGATGGTCAGACAATTGGCTCGCAGAACTCAACCCTATCTAGTGTAGCTATGAAAATCGGGGAAAGAGAAACAAGAACGACAGTCTAATGGAAAAAACACGATAATGAACTTTAAAGAATGCATAGCACCGAGAATATCGCCAGAGGTGCATATATACAGGGTCAGGACTATTTTCGACATAATTCAGACCTGTCAGCACCAGCCTGGAGCACACCTCTGATTAAACGTGTAAAGAAAGGAGCAAAAGCCTAATGCTCGTAAGTAGATTGGTTCCGAAGCTCAGAGAGTTGACCCCTCAGGGAAGGTTCCCTATGCTGGTGAGGAGCTCTTGATTTAGGGAATTGGATCTGTGCTCCAGTTCCCCGAATTAAGCTTGAATGCCTTCCACATTCCCCCCCCCCTTCAGGCGCTGTATAATCCTACGGGTTTAGCGCTTCCCTTTGATTATAATTATAATAATAATAATCAGAGAGTTGACCCTCTGAAGGTTAAAAAAATTGAACGAGATGATCTTAAAGAATACAAGTGCAAAGTGCATATATACCGACAACTTTATATGGTAGAGAAAGAATGATGGTTGATGATCGTATAACATAAAGGCAACGATTAAAGGCAAACCAACTGACCCAGAGGAATGTTAGTAAATGCTACTGTATTTAACCTGAAAGATCTCGGGAAGAAAGTACTGACTAAATGACGATGAGAACAAATGCCATACACAGTTTTAAGCTTAGGCACGACAGTGCCTAAAACAGTGATCTAATAAAACTAACTGTGTGCAGTTAAAATATGGAGCCAAGAGTTAAGACTATAACTAGGCAACGAGAGTCAAGAGGCGCGTGAATTTCCGTTTCCTAACATCATGTTTATTTTTTGCCTATTTTCTACCTTGTCCATAATTACTATCGGATTTGCTTTGTCTGCTTTCGTATAGGAGAAAAATAACATATTAGAAGACGGGAAAAGACGTGCCCCTTAAGTTTGTATACACGCGCACAAAATATACGACGTCACTCAAGGAAGAAAGATACATACTACCAAATGAAGATCGTGAGCAAGATGGTAGTGGCGAGACCCGAGGTTGCTGTGTTCTACAAGTCTTGAATGAATGGAGGCAGGTGGCGGTGGTAGGTGCGCGCGACTGTGTGGGTGTAGGCGGGGATATATATACAGCAGGAGACAGCCAGAACCTGCTACTCACACCCTACACCAGCAGCAACTGTCTACACGCTCCCTGTGCTCCGCTCACCTTATCGCATACCCGTAAACGCGACCCTGCCTCTGCCAGTTGGTTGCTGCTGTTGCTGCTGCTCCTGCTGTTGTTGCTACTGATGGCGTGTGCGGGAGAAGATTATATGACTTTAGATTAACACCTTAGCACAGTAAAATTACCCTTGGGTCTATAGATACACTGAAGGAGTGTTGGTTGCCGATTACTAGATGCTGCAAGCACTGTGAGGAGTTGCAAAGTCTCTTGTGTTGCAAACAGTGCACTACCAACATTTATTTATATAACCTTATTCTTAATATACTAACAAAATGCAATAAATCTTAGAACGTGGTTTGCGACAGAAGCACACCTCTGAGGGAGAGATTAATACGTCCCAACTCGGAAGACGGACAGAAAAATATCAACGCGTGAGAGAAACTTATTTCCCAGCAAAAGGACCCTTCGACTCTCTCCTTCTCGGACAATGTTTCTGTCCGCCTTCTTGCCCTTATTGCTGGCAGCGGTAGTCTCTCCTCCCTTTACAATGGCGCTGCTGCTCCCTCCTGAGGGTAACGACTACCCTTTGTATGACTTCCCCTCCGTGCAGTACCTCCCACACAACTCCCTCATCGAATACCAAGACCCTCGACTGGTCGACGACGAGAGAATGGAAGTAGCTACCAGGTCCACCTACCTGCCTCTCCCGCCCTCAGACTCCTCATCTTCATCTCTCTACCCCCAATCAGCCTCCTCCTCTTCTCCTCCCCTTCCGTGCACCGCTGAAGACATAGCAAGCATACTAAACATGGAAGACCTGGACAAAGTAATAAAGATCGTGTCGAAGCTGGAGGGAAAGAGTGTCAAGGAGATACTTCACAAACTGGCAGTCAAACATGGACTGCACTTCAAGGTAAGTCGCACTCTTCACTCCTCCTCCACGCCCACCCATATTCTCTTTATGAAACGTACAGTAAAACACGATTTTGAAAAGGGGGGCGGAAGAGGTTAACAATTTACTTCGTTCCTGAAAGCGTAGAATTAAATAAGAGACATTGCACAATATCTAAACTCGACTTACAAAGACTGATTTATCCTCTCTCACGTTGTTAATATTAATGTTGCCAGAGACAAGAAACAAGATTATTGGTGAGGTAATAAAGTAATTGAAATTCTGTGGTAAGGAATAAAAGCTTCAATGATCATTTTATACTGCTACGGTAGTGACAGTGATCAATGTATACTGCTATGGAAGTGATACTTATCACTGTATGTTATTACGATAGTGATAGTGATCGCTGTTTGTTGCTACAGTAATGATCATACTGGCATGGTAGTGACAGTGATCACCACATACATCTCCGGTAGTGGCAGTGACTATCACAACCTGCACTGTTAGTGGGCAGTGACCATCACAAACTGCACTGTTAGTGGCAGTGAACATCAAAAACTGCAGTGGTAGCAGCAGTGATCACCCCACACCGCACAGCTAGTAGCAGTGTTCACCTCACATTGCACTGCTGCAGCAGTGATTGCCCCACACTGCACTGCTGCAGAAGGGATCACCCCACACTACACTGCTAGCAGCAGTGATTGCCTCACACTGCACTGCTAGCAGCAGTGCTCACCCCACACTGCATTGCCGCAGTAGTGATCACCCCACACTGCACTGCTGCAGCAGTGATCACCCCCCACTGCACTGGTAGCAGCAGTGATCACCCCGCACTGCACTGCTGCAGCAGGGATCACCCCACATTGCACTGCTGCAGCAGGGATCACCCCACACTGCACTGCTAGCAGCAGGGATCACCCCACACTGCACTGCTAGCAGCAGTGATCACCCCACACTGCACTGCTGCAGCAGTGATCACCCCACACTGCACTGCTGCAGCAGGGATCACCCCACACTGCACTGCTGCAGCAGTGATCACCCCACACTGCACTGCTGCAGCAGTGATCACCCCACACTGCACTGCTGCAGCAGTGATCACCCCACACTGCACTGCTGCAGCAGTGATCACCCCACACTGCACTGCTGCAGCAGTGATCACCCCACACTGCACTGCTGCAGCAGTGATCACCCCACACTGCACTGCTGCAGCAGTGATCACCCCACACTGCACTGCTGCAGCAGTGATCACCCCACACTGCACTGCTGCAGCAGTGATCACCCCACACTGCACTGCTGCAGCAGTGATCCCCCACACTGCATGCTGCAGCGGGATCACCCTACACTGCACTGCTGCAGCAGTGATCATCCCACACTACACTGCTGCAGCAGTGATCATCCCACACTACACTGCTGCAGCAGTGATCACCCCACACTGCACTGCTGCAGCAGGGATCACCCTACACTGCACTGCTGCAGCAGTGATCATCCCACACTACACTGCTGCAGCAGTGATCATCCCACATTACACTGGTAACAGTGATCACCCCACACTGCACTGCTGCAGCAGTGATCACCCCCCACTGCACTGGTAGCAGCAGTGATCACCCCGCACTGCACTGCTGCAGCAGGGATCACCCCACACTGCACTGCTAGCAGCAGGGATCACACCACACTGCACTGCTGCAGCAGTGATCACCCCACACTGCACTGCTGCAGCAGTGATCACCCCACACTGCACTGCTGCAGCAGTGATCACCCCACACTGCACTGCTGCAGCAGTGATCACCACACACTGCACTGCTGCAGCAGTGATCACCCCACACTGCACTGCTGCAGCAGTGATCACCCCACACTGCACTGCTGCAGCAGGGATCACCCCACACTGCACTGCTGCAGCAGGGATCACCCCACACTGCACTGCTGCAGCAGGGATCACCCTACACTGCACTGCTGCAGCAGTGATCATCCCACACTTCACTGCTGCAGCAGTGATCATCCCACACTACACTGCTGCAGCAGTGATCATCCCACACTACACTGGTAGCAGTGATCACCCCACACTGCACTGGGAGCAGTGATCACCCCACACTGCACTGCTGCAGCAGTGTTCACCCCACACTGCACTGCTGCAGCAGGGATCACCCCACACTGCACTGCTGCAGCAGGGATCACCCCACACTGCACTGCTGCAGTAGGGATCACCCCACACTGCACTGCTGCAGCAGTTATCACCCCACACTGCACTGGTAGCAGCAGTGATCACCCCACACTGCACTTCTGCAGCAGTGATCACCCCACACTGCACTTCTGCAGCAGTGATCACCCCACACTGCACTGGTAGCAGCAGTGATCACCCCACGCTGCACTGCTGCAGCAGGGATCACCCCCACACTGCACTGGTAGCGGCAGTGATCACCCCACACTGCATTGCTGCAGCAGTGATCATCCCACACTGCACTGGTAGCAGCAGTGATCACCCCACACTGCACTGCTGCAGCAGGGATCACTCCACACTGCACTGCTGCAGCAGTGATCACCCCACACTGCACTGCTGCAGCAGTGATCACCCCACACTGCACTGTTGCAGCAGTGATCAGCCCACACTGCACTGTTGCAGCAGTGATCAGCCCACACTGCACTGTTGCAGCAGTGATCACCCCCACTGCACTGGTAGCAGCAGTGATCACCCCACACTGCACTGCTGCAGCAGTGATCACCCCACACTGCACTGCTGCAGCAGTGATCACCCACACTGCACTGCTGCAGCAGTGATCACCCCACACTGCACTGCTGCAGCAGTGATCACCCCACACTGCACTGCTGCAGCAGTGATCACCCCACACTGCACTGGTAGCAGCAGCGATCACCCCACACTGCACTGGTAGCAGCAGTGATCACCCCACACTGCACTGCTGCAGCAGTGATCACCCCACACTGCACTGCTGCAGCAGTGATCACCCCACACTGCACTGCTGCAGCAGTGATCACCCCACACTGCACTGCTGCAGCAGTGATCACCCCACACTGCACTGCTGCAGCAGTGATCACCCCACACTGCACTGCTGCAGCAGTGATCACCCCACACTGCACTGGTAGCAACAGTGATTACCCCACACTGCACTGCTGCATCAGTGATCACCCCACACTGCACTGCTGCAGCAGGGATCACCCCACACTGCACTGGTAGCAGCAGTGATCACCCCACACTGCACTGCTGCAGCAGTGATCACCCCACACTGCACTGGTAGCAGCAGTGATCACCCCACACTGCACTGGTAGCAGCAGTGATCACCCCACACTGCACTGCTGCAGCAGTGATCACCCCACACTGCACTGCTGCAGCAGTGAGCACCCCACACTGCACTGCTGCAGCAGTGATCACCCCACACTGCACTGATAGCAGCAGTGATCACCCCACACTGCACTTCTTCAGCAGTGATCACCCCACACTGCACTGCTGCAGCAGTGATCACCCCACACTGCACTGGTAGCAGCAGTGATCACCCCACACTGCACTGCTGCAGCAGTGATCACCCCACACTGCACTGGTAGCAGCAGTGATCACCCCACACTGCACTGCTGCAGCAGTGATCACCCCACACCGCACTGCTGCAGCAGTGATCACCCCACACTGCACTTCTGCAGCAGTGATCACCCCACACTGCACTTCTGCAGCAGTGGTCACCCCACACTGCACTGGTAGCAACAGTGATCGCCGCACACTGCACTGCTGCAGCAGTGATCACCCCACACTGCACTGCTGCAGCAGTGATCACCCCACACTGCACTGCTGCAGCAGTGATCACCCCACACTGCAGTGCTGCAGCAGTGATTACCCCACACTGCACTGATAGCAGCAGTGATTACCCCACACTGCACTGCTGCAGCAGTGAGCACCCCACACTGCACTGGTAGCAGCAGTGATCACCCCACACTGCTCTGCTGCAGCAGTGACCACCCCACACTGCACTGGTAGCAGCAGTGATCACCCCACACTGCAATGGTAGCAGCAGTGATCACCCCATTCTGCACTGCTGCAGCAGTGATCACCCCACACTGCACTTCTGCAGCAGTGATCACCCCACACTGCACTGCTGCAGCAGTGATCACCCCCCACTGCACTGGTACCAGCAGTGATCACCAAACACTGCACTGGTAGCAGCAGTGATCATCACACACTGCACTGCTGCAGCAGTGATCACCCCACATTGCACTGGTAGCAGCAGTGATCACCCCACACTGCACTGCTGCAGCAGTGATCACCCTACACTGCACTGCTGCAGCAGTGATCACCCCACACTGCACTTCTGCAGCAGTGATCACCCCACACTGCACTGGTAGCAGCAGTGATCATCCCACACTGCACTGCTGCAGCAGTGATCACCCCACACTGCACTGGTAGCAGCAGTGATCACCCCACACTGCACAGCTGTAGCAGTGATCACCCCACATTGCACTGCTGCAGCAGTGATCACCCCACACTGCACTGGTAGCAGCAGTGATCACCCCACACTGCACTGCTGCAGCAGTAAGCACCCCACACTGCACTGGTAGCAGCAGTGATCACCCCACACTGCACTGATAACAGCAGTGATCATCCCACACTGCACTGCTGCAGCAGTGATCACCCCACACTGCACTGGTAGCAGCAGTGATCACTCCACACTGCACTGGTAGCAGCAGTATCACCCCACACTGCGCTGCTGCAGCAGTGATCACCCCACACTGCACTGGTAGCAGCAGTGATCACCCGACACTGCACTGGTAGCAGCAGTGATCATCCCACACTGCACTGGTAGCAGCAGTGATCACTCCACACTGCACTGGTAGCAGCAGTATTCACCCCACACTGCAATGCTGCAGCAGAGATTACCCCACACTGCACTGATAGCAGCAGTGATCACCCCACACTGCACTGTTGCAGCAGTGAGCACCCCACACAGCACTGGTAGCAGCAGTGATCACCCCACACTGCTCTGCTGCAGCAGTGATCACCCCACACTGCACTGGTAGGAGCAGTG